CTAATATTTGCACATCTTAGGCATCCAAATGGCACATCAATTCCTTGAGTGCAGGGGGCTGTGCCCCTCATTCACTCTCCTTCCCAGGAGGACCAAGCACAGCTCCGTGCATGGAGTAGGAGAGTACTTATTATTCAAATGAACAATCTGGAAATCTCTGTTGTTCGGCTGGGTGCCCAGGCTTCATTCCTCTGCCTCCAATGCCCTCTATGCTCCCACCTTTCCAACTATCCTGAAGACCCACCTCCTGAAGCATCAGGGAGACTTTAGTCACTGTCTTCCAGCATTTGCCATTTGTCATTTACATGCCCTTCTCTCCCACCAAAACACACAGAATATTCACACACAGTCAATACCCACCACAGTTTCAAATACCTCCCATATTTTTTTCTTTAATTGTTAATAAAAGGAATTCTTAACCCCAGGAGACTGTAAATTCCTTTAGAGTAGAGAATTTGTCTTGGGAGATATTCGTGGGGTGAATGCAGTCTTTGGAAAAAGATCAGCACTAAAGCAGTGAAACCATCTCCGATGAAAAGCGTTCATCCCTGAAGACAAATAACCTCACTCCACAAAGCCTTTTTGAAAATCACCCAAACATTTTTCAGAGGAAGTTGGTATGTTTATCTGAAATTTTTTGTCATAAACAAATCATTATATGCCCAACACACTTGGCACAATCCTACTGGAAGAAGATTGATGGTGAGCAAGGATAGCTGTCATGTGAATCATTTTTTACAATGAAAATGTCTGATGCAAATATTTCTCATAATTCTAGGATAAGCATATTTATGAGCTCCATAAAGATTTCACCTAATTTCTAAAATATATGGATTTTGGATTTCCATAGCATATTTTACATTCAGGATAATGAAAAGTAATGAGCTGAATATAGACTATTACATCAAAGTGAATAGGATGGTCATTATTCATTCCAAATATTAGAATATATTTTCATTACATCTGAGGGACTTTAGCCTAATATAATGACACATAATAATATCTCAGTAAATTTTGTGGTATGAAAATACACTTAGACTTCTTGATCTGGAATGGCAACTCCACATATACAAGACCAACCTTGTATAGGAATGAGTATAGGCACGAGACCTCAAACGCAATATAAGGATCACCTAAAACTTGTTAAATATATAGATAGTCTGGCCTCAGTTGTAGAGATCTGAATCAACCTCTACACTTTAGTAATAGCAATAGCGATTCATACCAAAATTTGGGAGCCAAGATATTAGGGGGATAAATTCAAGGTCCTATAGGCTTTCAACAGCTAATCGTGCCCATCCCTCTTCCCAACCCTGTGTTCACTGATGACCCATTGCTAACTCAGTCAACCATGGCAGCAGTATGTAGACCATGGAAGATGGCAACTACTCAGTTGCCAAACTTTTCCCAGCCCACCACCAGATAAGAAATCAAAACCCTAGTCTCTCTCCATAAGAGAATTTGTTGGACAAACGTTGGTCCTGCTGAAAGTCTCTGATAAACATTCTGTTACAGGTAGAGTAAGAAACTCAAAGTTTCCAAGGTGTCAAATTCAGTACTTTCCCTTAGTGAAGTGAAAATTACAAGGCTCAAGGAAGTGAGTTAATGGTCATTTACAAAGCAAGGGAAACTAAAATTTCTTGTGCTGGTGAAATTGTTAAGGATTTATGGCCAAGGTTCTACCCTGGGTAAGGTGATCCAGGGGAAGATGTGGGGGAGGGGGGAAACCATAGATCTGCTTTGCCAACTTTCTCATATCTAATCAGGTCCAACTGTCTTTTGTCTTCCAACTGCAAGCCAACTTTGACTCATATATGAGGACCTGATGAGGGTAATCAATAGCACACACTCGGCCACCCCTCCCGGACATGCATAGGCATGTATGCTCACCTAAGAACAAACCAGAACTAGACAGGGATGACGCTCATTTAACACTTTATTAAATACCACAGGAAACTCAGAGATTGGGCTTTAAGATTTGGATTCTTTCTCCACTCCGGCATTACATGTGAGTTTTGGTATGACTGGGTCAGCAACGAGTCCCACGACTCTGAGACATAGTCATGCTCTCAAGTCCTGTGTGCAGCATCCAAGAGTGGGAAAACTATGGTGTTGTTTTGTTTTGTTGGTTTTTTTTTTTTTTTAGAGATTTTATCCATTTCTTTGAGAGAAAAAGAGAGGGAGCACAAGTGGGTGGGGGGGGGGGTGGGGGTAGGGAGAAGCAGACTTTCCACTGAGCAGGGAGCCTGATGCTGGGCTTGATCCCAGGACCCTGAAATCATGACCTGAGCTGAAGGCAACCACCTGAGCCACCCAGGAACCCTGTGAAAACTACAGTTTTGAAGGAGAAAGAAACTATCTTGCAGTTTCAATCACTGAGAGAAATGGAATAATAAAAGCCATCTTTGAAAATAACTGTGGCAGAGTAGACTAGGTCTTGATTCGCAAGGAATTACAAAGGATCAGTCCCTTAAAAGAGTAATAAAGATACAAAAAAATATTCTTAGGGATAGTCTGCAATCTAAACACCATGGGGGATCACATATATTGATCATCTATGCCAGCTTTCCTGGTATAGTCATGATTTTATAAAATTCTACTTTCTCCAATAAAAGATTTCCATTACTGACTAACCAAATGGGATTAATGCATATCTTATAAAAATTAACTAACGTCACAAATTAAAAAAAAAAACAAACCTTTAACCAGATGATGTGTCCCAATTTGAGATTTGGAGACTATGATCACCATGTTTATAGAATTCATGATAGCTTCCTCATAGCTAGGTATATGTCCAAAGGCAGGCCCTGTGTTTTAAAGTTGAGAGCATGCACATGAACTCTCTCTGAGTCTTAGTGCTCATTCAGGCCTTATTTCTTGGCCCCGGCCTTCCTCTGAATCACACCCTCTACTGCTCTAAAGCTGAAAGTCTATTGAATTAGATAAAGGCAAGCAGCCTCAGATGGCACCAGAAAGGTTAATCGATGTTTCTGGGGCTGCGAGCTGCCCTGTGGAACAAAGTAAAGAAAGAAAAAGTTAAGGGGTACATAATAAAAGCTTGTGGGAGAACTGGAGTATTTTCCTAAATGCTTAACTTTCTACTGTTTTCCCCCAAACTCCGGCCCCGGCTTAATAAGAGTAATTAAGTATAGGAGAAGGTCTGTTAGGGGTGGAGATTTGAGAACTCAGGAAGCATGCATGGGAACAAACTTATTCCACGACGTAGAGATGGAACTCTGGGTGGTCCTCGCCTGGACCGAGCCGTTCTGTGGTGCCGAAAAGACACAGATGCCAAGGAATAGCCCACGCAGAAATTGCTCTCCTACCTCTTATTTTCCATGAGAAACTTTCCGTAACATTTTCCAGTTTTCCTCCTCACATGGGCAACTTTCGATGATATTAGGGCCCAATATTCATGAATCTCCACCTTGCCCACCCCCATGGAACATTGTGAATTATCATGTTTTAAAAGAAATAACATTCCTAACTTAAATACCTAAAAGATTTTCTCTGGAAAGCAGGTAGGAAGAAGATCAAGGAATAAAAAGCAGTCTATATTCGTAGTTTCTAAAGTATATCCTATTTTGGGGAAGTGTGTTTTACACTCTCATTTCAAGTAATATTGCACTTGAGCATAATAGACACTCTGAGATATAAAATAATCATCCTTAGATTTAAAAAAAAAATTTTGTGTGTGTTAACATACACGTAAAATAAAATTTACATCTTAGTCATTTTTAAGCCTGTGGTTCAGGAGTGTTAACATGCCTGTATTTAAATACATTCACATTGTTCTGTAGCCAACACTACCATCCAACCACAAAACTCTTTCCATCTTGTAAAACTGAAACTCTGTCCCCACTGAGCACTAACTCCACATTCTCCCCTGTCCCTGGCAACCAACATTTTACCTTCTGTCTCTCTGACTTGACTATTCTAAGTACCTAATGTAAGTGAAATCATACAGCATTTGTCCTTTTGTGACTGGATCATTTCACTGAGGATAATGACCTGGAAGTTCATCCATGTTGTCACCTACACAAGAACTACCTCCCTTTTTATTACTAATATTGCATTGTGTGTGTACATCATGTTTTGTTTAGCCAGTCATCAGTTGATGGACACCTGTTTTAGCTACTGTGAACAAGGGTGTGCAAATACATCTTTGAGAACTTGCTTTCAGTTCTTTTGGGTGTATACCCAGATGTGCATAGATTTGGTTTTAATTCATCATTTCCCAAACTTGTTAATTGCAGAACCCTTCAGCTTATATTCAAATAAAATAGGATCCTGTTGATATTGAACCTCTATTAACAGCAAAAGAAACTCATGTTCTGCAACCTACTACTTAGAATATGAGTCAGATATGTCATTTCTTTTTTCAGAAACAAACAAAAAAACCTCTGAAAGAGGTTCCTTCCCTTATATACAGCTTTAAATACAAGGATACTTCACCAGATGAGCCCACTTCTTGAAGTAATGGGGTCCTGAGCGAGAGCCGCGCCACAGGCAGGGAATCAGACCCTTGAGATCACCGAAGCAGAGCACTCTTCCTCAGAAGGGAAGCCAGCCAAGCTTCCACTGCTGGAACTGAATGGTTTTCACTCCAGCGATGGCACTTCTGCTCAGATTCCAAATGTCACTCCTTGACAATTTCTAATTTAAGGCATCGATTTCCTTCTCTGGGGGTTTTACTATCTACCACATGGGCTCTATCTTCATTGTGCATTTGCTACTGAATTATACTTCGTAACTTTCTCTTGCCGAATTATTCCTCAACCTAAATTCTCAGTAAACTAACGCTTCACCCCAATTCCTTTGCAGCAATCTGCAGTAAACGTGGATGCTGAGACTCTCAGTAATACAAGGAAAGCTGCTAATGTAGACATAACCATATATTTTAAAGGAACAGATGGATCATAACCTCAATTCTTCAGGAAGTGGGGTGTGCTGACCTTCATGGTTTACTCACTGGGCTTTCTAGAGTCAAAGGTTACTACCTGCAAATGGATCTCTTTCACCCCCTCTGTGTCCTGAGGTTCTCCTTGGTTCCAAGCTCACTGGTATTTGAGATGAGCTTCTCCCAGTGTTTCTTCAGTGTCCACTCTGCAAATGCCAAACAAAGGAAACATTAGCAAAGGGGAGGAGTAGAGATCTGTGTTGCAGCTCGGGAGGCAGCTCTGGGGAAGGCAAGCACAGACACTGCAACACAAAGAACTGAGCACTCAAAGGAATATATATTCACTGGGGCTGGTCCAAAGGGTTGTCAGGACCTTAGTGAGAGGAGTAAGCATGTCATTTCTGTAACTGTGCTGGCTGGATACAAGGACCTCAAGCTGGCTGGAGATGTGGAATATGGAGGAACTACCCTCTCAAATGCGTGGTTCATCTCCTGCAACTTGATTACCTCCAGATGGCCAGGGCTCCTACCCCAAGTCCTGCATGGTGGAGTACCCTGTTCCGGCCACCCTTCAGCCATGCCTCTCTGTGGCAGACAATTCTGAGCACCAAGCCCATGCCACCCTCTGCTTCCACACCACACCCTGCGTACCAGAATCATGAAATTCCCCATCCAAGGGCTCAAGCCACTGCCAGCCTGCAAGGAGCTCTTCCATGGGTATAGTCTTTGGAGGACCCATTTGTAGACCTGAGAGGTGGCCGAAGAATGGCTATTTGCAGGGCAGGAGGGAAGTGGGTTTGGACAGAGCTTAGACCTGCAGGTGGGAGTCTGACACACATTCATGGGTGAGGTACCTTGCAGTGAGGGACAGAGCTGACAGTGGGAAGAAAGTGGGAGTGGACATATATGTCTACTCTTGCCCCCAAGCCCTGTAAATGATGGAGGTGAACTCACTGAATCCGTCATATTAGGCATCATATGACATTGGCTAGGAGACATTCTCCATACATTAAATAAAAAAGGTCTCTTCACTTTGCTGGGTACAGTAAATAATAATTACCATAAAAGCTACCAGTCCTTAATGTGTGGCAGAATCTGTGCTAAGAAGTTTATATCCATACCTCCTTGAATTAACTAAAATATAGAAGAACTTATATCCATCCCATTTTACAGATGAAGAAATCAAGGCCAATAGAAGTAAAGTAATTTGCCCACATCAACACAGCTTGTAAGTGGTAGGCTGGGGTTCAAACTCCAGGAGATCTCTATCTTGCGTGAGTGAAGGGAAGCAGAGAGGGCTGAGTAGATGCAGGCAAGGGTTGGTTGCTGAGATGGAGGGTAATCTGTAGACATTTTGGAAGGGGTCAGAAAGGATGCAGACACACTCAGAAAATGAACCGGCTAAGAAGGAGGAAAAGCAAGTCAGAGGCCCAGGACAAAGTGTTGCCAAGAGCTGGGGGGCTTTTGGAGGCTGGCTAAAAATTCCAGCTTTGCCTCTGAATAGAACCCAACTCCACCCACCAGTGATCTTCAAGCAAATTATTCAGTTAATTACACAGCACACCTTACATCCTGTTGGACCAAAAAAAAAATTTTTTTTGAAGGAAGATTTACATTTTATATATAAGTAAATAGTTGGCTCTAAATGTTGATAGTTCAAAGGAGGAATTTCCCACCCCCTCTTTTTAGTTAACTAAAAATGACTAGAAAAGCTATGAAAGGCCCTTGTCATGGGCTCCTTCACACAGTTCCAACAACTGAAGCTTGGTTTTGCCTGTTGTCTCATAGCCCTGGCGGATGTGTAGGGCTGAATTTCTGAAAAAGAACTTACAGCCACCAGATCAAGGCAACTAGGGACAAACATTGGGCTATGAACTATTTAATAAAAGACTTTTTTATTAAGGTCCAATTACAGTCCACTTGGTGAATTTGGAGAGAAATTAAAAGCCATGAAGAAAAATGACCAAATTGATTTCAATATGTCTTCTGCTTCTTTCTTAAATGTGGAAGGGGTTTATAAAGCATCTGTGTGTAAATGAACAAAGAATACTCCATCATTTTCCAAGTACGTAAGTTTGAAGACCGTGAAAGAGCAGAGGAAAAGTAGGTAGTACTGGTGCTGCACGTAACAAAAATAAAGAACAAAGAGCATCACCCTCTCTCATTACTTTGCAGTTTTGCTCTTGATGCTATTATATCCCTGTTTGTTCTCCTTTAATGAGATCTTATCAAAAACTCCATCTTCCTTCTCTGACTGGCTAGTCTGACATTTCCCCTCCTGGTGGATGCCAAAAACGAAAATAACAATCCGTATCCACAAGAGAAAAATAGTTGTTTTTTCTTTTTCAAGATAAGAAATGAATACAGCAGGAACGAAGGGCACTCATGGAGCATTCCAGTGGGCCTGCTGGCTCCTGCCCACCGACAAGAAGATTCTAGATCTGTCTGTCTTTTAGAGCACTTTATATATGTTATATTGTGTAAGCCACACAACACTTTACTTGAATGACTACCCCTACAGTTAAGGAACTGAACGCTCCTTGGTCAGTACATTTTTATTTCATGTAAGCTTTATCTTAATTTTCTTAACCTTGCATTTTTATTTTAATACCCATAATTTTTCAAATATCCCAATACCTCAAAAGTGGCTTGTTAAGGTGCAAAAATAGGGCTGAAAATAGAAACATTAATACTCCAACTCAGAATAACTTCACCACGAAGAATAGTGAAGAGGTCCCCAGGGTAAATATTGAATTTGACTCTGCATGTGTTGGCATAGCAAATCTGTAAATGAAGATATTTCACAAGCATCCAAGGAATGACAAATATTTGAACATTGAATTTTACTGGATTGTCTTTTTGTGTAACATGAGTCCTTAGTGTGTTTTCTTTTAAGAAACCTTGTTATATTATGACATTAACCAATGATGCTTTTGCATCTTTTTTCAAATAAAGAAAAATTGCTTTTATAGTAAACTAAACGAGTTTCTCCAGAACTTTCCAGTGCAAAGCTGATGTTCTTATTGATGTAAGTAACACAGTCTAATGGGGCACAGGCTTTGAAAGTAGATGAGCCATTGCAAATCCCAGCTCTGCCACTTACTTTTGTGACTCTGGGCACATTAATTTGGACACAATGTCTCTTTACCCACCTTCCCTTATGTTTAATGTGGAGGTAAGATTTATCTAATATTATAGATTTGTTATGAGGATGAAATGTATGTACAGAGTTGAGCACCGTGCCTGGCAAAGAGCAAACACTCAATAAGCACTAGCAATCATCAAACACAAAGTCCAAATCCATAGAGGGTTCTCAGCATCACACTCTTCATGAATGCATAGGTACGAATAATAGTAAACTTGAGCTCAGAGAAATAGTCTAATAACAGATTGCCAAAGGCCTTTATCAAACGGAGCTATGGATACTTCATACCAGGGGGAGAGACAATGACTAATACACATGCTGCTGGCATAAACTTTGCATCTGGATGAAGGTGTATGTTGTAAAATGGAGAATTTATCTGGTCTTTGTGCCAGGTTTCTGAGATGGAGCTTCTAAACTTTTGAAACTTCCTGAGTGACCACAGTGGGTCCCTGGATAGTTCCAGGATGAGGGATGGCCATGCCAGAAAGATGTAATCAGAGGGTTGGGGCTTTGAGCCATGTGATACTATATGTACCTCCAAGGAGGAGAGGAGGGGCTGGGGATTGAGTTCAATCATGTGCCAGTGATTCAATCATTCATGCCTATGTGATGAAATCCCAATGAAAACTTTAACCATTGAAGCTTGTCTGAGATTTTTGGCAAATGAACACATTTATGTGCGAGGAGAGTGATATGCTGATTTCTTAGGAACAGGACATGGAAATTCTGCATTCAGGATTGTCTCAGACTTTGCCCTATGTGCTTCCCCTTTTGACTGGTCCTGATTAGTATCCTTTATCATAAAACTGTAATCACAAGTATAGAGCTTTCCTGAATTCTGTGAGTCCTTTTAGCAAGTTATCAAAGCTGAGGGGGTTATGGGTACTCCTGAATTTGTAGCCAAGTGGTCAAAAGTCTACGTGGCCTGAGGATTCCGAAATTTGCAGCCGGCATCTGAGGTGGGGCAGCCTTGTTGGGGATTCTGCCCTTAACCTGTGGCGTGTGCATCAGCTCTGGGTAGTTAGTATGAGAAATGAGTTGTGATACCGTACTGTACGAATCAGCTCTTGGCATATATGTCCTCTGTGTATTGAGTAGATGGGCTTGGTGGCTTTTTGACTTAGTCAACACTGAAATGATAATTTAGAAAAGGAAACTTTTTTTAAGCTAAGGATTCTTTTATGAGCCATGGTGTGGATGGGAGAAAATGTGTTAACATTAATGCTGACAAAACGTGAGCTCAGGACTCATTGAGGAAAGGTCTCTGCCACCATTCACTGAACACTTTCTCAGAGACAGCCATTGACAATCAACAAATGACTTCTCATCTTCATGTCAGGGTTATGGTGAGAGGTACAACTGTAAGGCAATCAAATCAAACCCACAGAATAAAGGTATCTTCAGCCTCTTGTGCAAATAGATTGGAAGTATAAGCTTCCTTCTCCTTCTGAATTTCTTGACTACCAAAGGAGAAGATGCTTCACATCAGCCTTTGAAATTAAAATAATGATAAAACCAGCTCATCACAACACTTTATAAGGCCAGGAAAACACATTTCCATAATTTCATGAAGCCTATTCAAGTATCATAGCTCAACAATATATCAAGAACTCTGAATAGCCTAAACCTGTCGCTTCAGAGGTGAAATTTCAAGATGTTCCTTCTGAGGATATAAGATTAAGATTTTATAAGAAAGACAAGATATGATAGACTGATTGCCGAGAATCTGACTTTCTTCAAAAAGTATGTGAAATGCTTCACTCAGGAATTAGTGGATTTCATATTAGTTGGTTATAGTTTAAAACAACCTCCACAGGATGCAATGGAAATGGAAAAAAAAATTACTTTCCAGAGTGGAATGTCATCAAACTGTAGATGAGGAAAAAGTAAGCTGCTTTATCCCAAGCTAAAATACTCATAAGCCTATTGACTTTACACCTGACGGTGTCAGAAGCAGTCTTCAGTGAGATTTCACCCCAGGAATTTTGAGTCCTTGCCTTGCCCTGAAAAATAACAAATTCACAAGTCACTTGCTTTCTTTTTGAGTTAGCTGCTCTAATT